CCAAGTCGATAAACCCTAAACCCTAAACCCTAAACCCCTAAACCCCTAAACCCTAAACCCCTAAACCCTAAACCCCTAAACCCCTAAACCCTAAACCCCTAAACCCCTAAACCCTAAACCCTAAACTGCCAGGGAAGAGGAGCTGCGAGTTCTGCTTGCCACAAAGCTCGAGGAGGAAGAGCACTGGAGCCTAGCTATCGGAGATTCGTCGGGGATTGAAGCATTACCTTGCGTTCTGCGTTTATACCAGGGTTGGGGCCATGTCTGCGTTTATACAAGGGTTGGGGACCATGTTTGACATTTGTGCCACTTTCCGGCAGTGTCTGAATCTGCAGTAGATCATTCAGGTTGTTAGTTCCAGGGCACCATCGCATTCTCGTACAGGTGCCCCCGCTGGTATGTGTTGAAACGAGGCGCTTAGGGCTGTTGGATTAGAGTTTAATATTGCGTCTTTCAGCACACCGCCTCGGATGAGAGTGTTAGATCTGGGACAGTTTCAGGTGGGTAGTTACCGTTATAGGAGCCTTGTAGAAGCCCTATATTCCCTAAACTCCCCACCTGTAGTTGCCTCTAGTTAGACGTTCAAAGTCTTTGTCCTTGCAGCTGAAAGGTTAGCGGTTTATTGTTTTAGGGTTTAGGGTTTTGGGTTTCAAGCAGCTTCGTGCATTCTTGGGCACCGAACAAGCTCCTATGCATCGTAGCTCGAGTCCAAGTATAGACCATACAGTGGAACCCCGAACATGAACCCTTAAATCTAAATCCTAAACCCTAAAGCTAAAGCCTAAACCCTAAATCTGCCGAGTGTGGCTGAAGAGGAGGTGTCGGAAAGCACGGATGCTGAGCGAGGCTTTTGCGACCTTTCCTCGCGTCGCAGCCACGTCACATCCCAGTCTCGGGGTGCCGACTACAACGACGTGACAAATCCTTCGGAGGAAACGGTTTATGAACCGTTAATGGGGCAAAAAACAGCAAGGGCAACTTGCGCTTCAAGACGAGAAGGCGTTGAACAAGCGATACACAAAGACCGTTGCTGTACCCATCGACAAATAGTGTTTAGGGTCTGTAGGGTTTAGGGTCTTGTGTTTAGTGTCTGGGGTCACTGGGGTTTAGGGTTTGGGGGTTTAGGGCCGGCTTAGGGTTTGGGTTTAGGGTTTATGGTTATCTAGAATAACGTCGACCCGGATTAATTGTGTCCCCGGTCTTTCTGGTCCGTCAGCGGAGGGCGGGTGGAAGTCTTGGCTTTGCACTGACCGTGATCTTGGTAGTTCCGAGCACTGATGGAACTGAAATGAAATCAATGCATATGAGCAGCACGTCCTGCAAGAAAGCCTCCACCCGAAAACTAGCAAACTGAACATTCAATGGACAGACTTTTTGGCGTCTGTGCTGTCAGAGATCTTCTCTAGATGCTCAAAAAACTCAGAACTTAGACCTCCCTAATCCCCAAACCCCTAAACCCTAATCCTTAAACCCTAAACCCCTACCCTAAACCCTAAACCCTAAATTCTTAAACCCTAATCCTTAAACCCTAAACCCCTAAACCCTAAACCCCTAAAACCTAAACCCTAAATCCTTAAACCCTAATTATCCTAAACCCAACACCCTCAAGCCCTCCCCCTTCGCCAAAGTCTAAGCCTCCGCCCAGAAGCCTAAGGCCGCTAGACCGCAAGAGCTCTTGACTTGAGAGTTTAGGGGTTTAGGGGTTTAGGGGTTTAGGTTTAGGGGTTATAGGGGTTTAGGGGTTTAGGGGTTTAGGGGTTTAGGAGTTTAGGGGTTTAGGGGTTTGGGGGTTTAGGTTTAGGGG